CAAGACCCATGTCTTGCCTCTAACTAGAGAGTTAACTTCATCTTTGCTGAGTGTTTCCTGGAGTGCAAGTTCTTGCTGCCCACAGCCAGAACCGCAGCAGAGGCTTGGCCAGCTGGCCAGCTACATCATTGTCCAGCAGAGAACGTCTTCTGCACCAGCCAGGCTGAGGCGAGAGAGCCTCTCATGGGCATCTGCTGCCAGGGAAGTGACCCCAGTGCAGGAGAAGGCCCCAGATAAAGCCCACCCTGAAGCCAGTTAAAGCACAGTTGCATACAAGGCAACAGAGCCACACTGAGCTGGGAGCAGGACATGAGTGTCTGCCACCCACATAGCCCTGAGAGGACACGCTCTGTTCCCCTGGCCCCGCTCCTCTCTTTTCCATGAGAGGGACCCAAAAGTGGGAGACAATGGAGAGAGGAGTGAAGAGTACTGAGACTGTCGCTGCCAAAGTGAAAACAAACATTAAAAAGAATTGAGTTCATCCCCAGATGAAAGGTATCAACCAACACGGACTGTATTTGGCTCGGGTCACAAAACCCAAGATCACTGAAAAGAAGGCCTGAGGGGATTTTGCCCATCAACCCGATTGGGGTTCACCCCGGAAATTGTGACTGCTACATGGGTTTAGAGGGGAGCATCGACTTGTATGCATCAGTCGCACCAGTGGCAACAGTCAGTTCACTCATAGCAGGGAACAGCACCTGCCCTGGCTGCTAGGAATTGCCAGACTTTGCTTGGCTTGAGGTAGCTCCCTCTGCCCATGGACCTGGCCTGTATCTGTGCCATGTCCTGTATGTGTCTTGGTGTGCAGGGGTGCGGACTACAGACACAAGCCTGGGAAGAACCCATCTCCTCCATTACCTGCCTCATCCAGGAAAGCATCCTCTCACACCCCCTCAGTCCCACTCACCCCCACATCAACCTCACTGGCCAGGGGTTGAAACAACAAACACCACAGTTAACTCTTAGGTCATGACCAGTCCAATTACCATTTGCTCTGAAACTGCATCATGTGCTCAGTTCCTGAGAAGGTAGAGAGCTGGTAACCAGAGACACGTCCTTGTGCACCAGAACCACGGGCAACAGGGGGGAGAGGTGATGGCCAAAGGGTCCCCTCTGCCTGGATGGTCCATGTCAGGTGGACACAGGTAGCTAGTTCTCAACTTGTTCCTTCCTAGTCCCTGGAGCAGAGGGAGCTCCCCCCACCCCAGCCAGCGTTGTGTCTAAGTGTGGCATCAGTTCATGTGCAACACCTCCTGCAGGCACCTGGTGAAGTGGTTGCGCTTGTAGGCCCTGGCCAGGACACTACACATCAGCTCCTTGAAAGTCAGGAGGATGTGGCAGTTGTACTCGGCTGAGCACTCCAGGCACCCGCATTTCCAGCTCTTCTTCACCAGGATGGAGAAGGGCTTCTTCCCAGCCCACTTGTGCCCGACTACAATGATAGGCCTCTCATTAGCACTGCCCATCCTGGGGTTGGGAATTGCAGGCAGATCAAGGACAGGGGCACAGTCCTGGCCACCAAGGAGAGAGGGAGGGCCTGGAAGAGCTCATCCTGGGGAACGGGAGTGACTACCCAAAGCCAAGGCTGCAGCCTGGCCATGGGGAGAGGCATGGCCAGGTGCACCTAGTGCATTCCCACTGCACCCCATGCCGGCTACAACTCAAACCCTGTGTGCTGCATCTTACAAACTTAGGCTTCTGCACAGCAGCCCCATCTATCCCTTTTTCCCACACCAAACCCTCTTGCTCGTCTACCTTTTGGTCCTAGTGTTCAATTCTCTCCCCGCTTTCCTGCATAGATGCTAAGGCAGGACCTATGCAGGATGGTGACCAAGGTGCTTCTATGTCCCCACGAAGCCAACTCTGGTCTCCAGGCATGGAAAGAAACGTGCTAACTCCCAAGCCCGGCTGCAGCCCACAGCTAGATGGCCATGACAGTTGCCCTGGCCTTGCCTTTCCACTTCCTGACAGGGATGCAGGGGAGGTTGGGCTGTGTCTACTTGCTGCACAGCTCAGGGAAGCCCTGGGACAGGCAGCACGTGACCCTGGGCAGTCACTCCAGGAAGATGAGCCACCGTCCCTTCTGGAAACTGAAAGGGAGATAATCGAGCTCCCACCCCGAGAGCCTGGCTACCAGCTTCCCCCTGCTGCCACCTGCCCCCTGCTCACCTGTTCTCTGCTAGCTGCTGTTGGATCATCTTGACTTACTCAAATCTCACAGGACTGCAGATGTCGTATGCTAGCACAAAGGTATCTGTGTTCTGCAGCCCCCAGCACTTCAGGTTCAACTGCTCCTTCAGGACAAAGAGCATAGGCTGTTTTTGGGGGTGGGGGTGGGTGGGAGGGATGCGGGGGTGCCAGCCCAGAGGGGATCCTGGATAGTTCAGCTCATCCCAGCAACCCTCTGCCCCAGTGATGTCAGGGGGCAGCCCAGGGTGTAACCAGCAGTGGGGAGGAGACTGCATTCTCTGCCACCTCTCAGAGAGGCAGAGGTGATGCCAAGAATGGATTGCCCCCTCCCACGTAGCCAGGGGCTGGGTCCGTTGTGGGTAGATATCTGGCATCTTTGAGGGAACTACTAGCCACTCCCCTTACTGAGAGGGCAACAGCCCCTGCCCTGGGTGAGGTGCCCTGCTCTGTCACAGCAGTCATGCATGCCAGCCCTGTGGCCTGACGGAGCACCTCCAGGATGAATGCCAAGCCGAGGAGCAGCTCTCCAAGCTTCTAGGCAGAGCTCACTGGCATAGGGAGGGTCCATCCCACATGAAAGTGCAGGCTATCCATGCCTCATTTCACTGACAACGCTGAGCGATCACCCAAGAAGCCTGGTGAACTGGGCACCCACTGGGCAGCCGGGACCGGACAGCTAGCTACACAGCCCACCTGCCACCTGGGGAGCCACCAAGCCAGGCAGCTGGGAAGCCAGGTAACTCACTGCGAAGGAGGCTGGGCAGTCTGCCAGTCCATCAAGCAGGCATCTGGGGAACCAGCAAGTCAGAGACCCCTTGTCCCTCCCCCTCAAAGCTGGGCAGTCTGCCTGATGTCCTGCCCGCGTCTCAGGGGAGTTGCTGAAGGGGTGAGGACCTTCCTTCCCCTCCCATTTGCTCACGCCACTGGACTTCAAGCAAAAGCCCTCACATCACACATCCTGCTCAGGACCTTTCACACGGTCACTTCCAATCCAACCTGGGCCTTACATGAGGTGAGAGATTGTAAAACAAAATCTAGCTGTCTTGAGTATCTTAACAGTGTCTCTGAAACTTCACTGTCAGTCATTGCTACACCTGAGTTAATATTACCACGCCTGAATTTAACTACATGGCGGGTTTTAAACTAGGCTCGTCGGGGGAAGGGGAAGATGAGGATGGAGGGAGCCATGGACCACCGAAGCAAGAGACACCCGCAAGAACAGCTCAGCCAAGACAGGCGACAAGCACAAGAAATACCCAGGTAAGAGACAGGGGCCCAGATAGTCCTGGGATTAGGGGGGCGGTGCATACACCTCCAGGAGGCCTTAAATGCCTCTACACTAATGCTCGTAGCATGGGGAACAAGCAGGAGGAACTTGCCCTCCTGCTACCTAACACTAACCCAGACATAGTGGGGCTCACTGAAACTTGGTGGGATCCAACACACGACTGGGCAGTAAACATCATAGGCTGTACAGGAGGGATAGAACAGGGAGGAAAGGTGGGGGGGTGGCGCTCTACATCAAAGAGCAACACACATCATTTGCAAACAGCACTGGGTCAGAGGAGCGGCAGACTGAAGTGCTCTGGGTCCGAATACAAGGGGGTCGGGGGGAAAGGGACTTAACAGTGGGGGTCTACTACAGGCCACCCAACCAGGGGGAAGAGCTGGACTGGGAATTCTCAGGTCAGCT